AGAGTTGGCTCATGGACTTTAATACGTGCCACTAGAAGATATAGAAGCAAATATATTACTTTCTCCCATTCTACTCTTAGTAACTAAGACTCCAAAATGGCGGTAGGAAAATTTTACTTTATTTACGGTATCACAATGAATATAATCAAAATTCTATGAATATACTTAGCACCAACTGGTCTATAGTCAAAGTCCAGCTGGTTGTTCGCACACAATCACGTGACACGTGCTAAAACTAGGGAGAACCACCCACGCATTGAGGTTTTGTCATTATGGCCAGTGGTGAGGAAAATGCTTTTGTTTCTTCTACTAAGGAGCTAAAAGTTTTGAGACGAAATGCCAGCAAACTCCAAAGAACAATCAGTGATCACAGACTCTTGTCCATGGATCTTTATTCAGCTGAACTGATATCTCTAACAACTCTTCAAAAAGTGAATGTTCCTGTAACTACACCGGATGCACAAAGCTACGAGATTATAAATAATTTAATTCGAGCTGTGGTCGTTGATCCTGACAACTTTCATAAGCTCCTTCAAGTATTAGAGGATCATCCCCCACTGCTGACTGCTGTTGCCAAAGAAATGAAAGAAGAATATGGTGTGTTTAAAGTTTCATAGCAATTTATAAATGATTTTTAAAAATTAGATTCCTGTGAGTTTGAATGTACATCACCTTTAAAGCAACCAGAAATCAGCAACGACCAACAGAAAAGTAAATATTTCTTTGCATGAATCAAACTTTTTATCACAAATTCATTAGAGATAATCACCATTGATGGTCGAACTATACAAAGAGGCTATGATCGAATGCGTGGGAAGTTAGCGGAATTGGTGTTTGATTTTCAGAAAGTAGTTGAAAAGTCAACCGTCAACATTGAAGACCTGAAGCAATATGTCATCCTTTATCATCCTGATGAGCAGTATAGAGATGAACTAAGGAAAGCAAGAGATATTAATGCAGTCTTTGCTGTAATTCGTAGCAAATTCTGCTCTCTCTTCAATTATACTGTCCTCCTACGAATTGCCGAGAAATTTAATCTTCCTGATGGATTTGAAGTAATACAAAGATACGAAGCAGAGGAAGAGAATTATCGTAGGATATTGAGTAGCTCTGCTCTTGCTGATGAGCTGCAGAAAGAAAATGAATTACTTCATCAGAATTTATCTCATACAAAGGCCATCATTCTTAGGTTACAAAGATGGTCACGGCCGCCAGCACTGACAGTTGACGAGTTTCATGAAGTTATAAAAGATATTTTTGCTGACCTTGGGGACTTGCTTCACCTCCTTAAAGTTGAAGCTGGTTCAATCATCATTACAATGTGTGCTCCTGAGCGAGTGACAGGAACACTAATAGCTCTGGCAAAGAGGAAAATAGCATATCTTAAGGATATTGGAGTGACCTGGCTAACAATTGGAAACACTTTAATAATCAATGACATTGAAGACACAGAAGAGGTATGGAACATTTATTATTATTGTATTTACTGTTATAATTAGTTATCACATGATGTTATGGAACAAGAAATTGAAGACAAGCCCTCTTCCCCCAGTCCTATTAAGGAAAATAGCTCAGACAATGTTAATCAACTACCAAGTATGAAGTCTACACATATTGACTATATAATTAATGTACAGGTTCACCAATTGGAGCAGTTACTGGAACAGTGTCTCAGTTAAGTCGTCCAACAGTACAAGCTGTAGCAGATGATGGAGGAGATGATACTGATCAAGGAATGGGAACTGATTCAGCTACTCCAATATACACCCCAACATGGCGTAATTATCCCTTCACACCAAGAGAAGTAATGATTATTGGATCCTTTGGTGATCATAATAATTGGCTGGAACAACAGTTAGCAATTAATAATATTAATTGTTTATAATTTTGTTTATCGTTAACAGGTCTATTGTATCACCAAAAATACTTACAAAAGAGTTATCAGATGAATGGAGGAAAGAAGAAACCGAGAAGATTGCAGATTTGTATAGCAAAAATCCTGAAAAGTATCACATTAAATCAGTCCATTATAATATACCAGGAGAAGAGCGTACTAAAGAATATTACATAGAAGCAATCAAGAAGTTTTTTATTAATTGTACACAGCCAGGAGGTCAGTACAAGCGAGATTCATTATACCTTATAATGTTTTGTTATAATAGCTAATATTGATTACACTGGTCATGGAGAGAAGGACACTGGTAACTGGTGCTTTAAAGATGGAGTAATATCATTCAATGACATCTTTGAATTATACATAAACTATTTTAAAGGAAAGTCATTATCAATAACATCAGATTGCAGTTATTCTGGTAACTGGATCAATGAATGTGGCAAAAGGTTAGATGAGATGAATGTTCCATCATGTGGACACCACACAAGACAGCAAGGGCTGTTGTTTAAGATAAGTACCTCTTGTGAACCTAATGAAGAAGCTACTGCATTGTGTTATGTTAATGAAGCTAATGCGTATAGTGAAGCAGATAAGACAGTGGTACTTTGGTATGGTAAAACACTAACATCAGGACAGAAGACAATGCTTAATGACTTTAGAGACATTCGTTGTAGTAAACCAGCCAATGAATCCTGTGAAGCTGATACTGATTGTACTTGGAATGATTACCTTAGTAACAAGTATCATCTTGTTTATAAAGTTTGTGGCAAAGACAAAGGATATGCAGCCTGGCATTATGTGTTAGTTGATGAAGAGAAATTTGTTGATTTCAAAGCTCAAGTAGCTACTGGAAGCATTGACCTTTCCAAATATGGTAAAATATTAGAGTCAGGATGGGGTAAAGATCCTCCTGAAGATATTGAAAGAAAGGTGAACCTTCGATTTGGTAAATTACTGAAGCCACTTTAGATTACAGTAACATGTGTACTAAAGGCTTGTACAATATCTGCTAAGTGCTAGCAATTATTAATATTATAAGAATTATACATCATGTAGTGTTTTTTAGCTTTAACATGTGACTTTTTATATGAGCGTACTAATTTGATCACAATGAGTGTGTGTCATCATACTGTATGATCTATGCTTGTAGCATAAGACCACATCAGACCAGCAGCAATTGACATGCATTTAGATTTTTGAAGAGAATTTTATTTTGCATTATTTTTTACTTGCTCAAAAAATAGCACATGTGAGGGAAGTAGGCATGGCCAGCAATAGCTAATGATCTGGGGAGAAGAGAGACCTACTCACTCTCTTTACTCAGTTACTCTCCTTCATTCACTGCCATCTCGGTAAGACGTGGTAGCCTAAAGAGTGTCTGGTGAGGTAGAGCCATCATCGACCCTAAGATCCAACGCATACAAGACATCATGAAAGCCCTAGAGGCTGGGACGGTAATGTTTAATTAAGTTCAGACGCAAGAGGCCACCAGAGAAGAGGATATTCACACTCAAACTGGCCACATTTGAGATACAGCAGACACCCTTTCCTTCTCGTGGTTGTGCCATAGCTAAGTGAAGAGACATAGGTGAAGATTCAATTGATAGGAATGAGGTCTTTGTCAAATTCTGATATACATTGACATGAAAAAAGCATTGCATGGTATGGCATTCACATTATGTCCTTGATAAATGAAAATTGTTTTGTTTCAGGTGGGTTATTGCTCTATTGCTCAGCAAACAATATACTCAGGAGATGAGAATGGATTCATTAGTACTAAATATTTTGAAAAAGTATATGACATAACTAAAGGTATCAAATTAGACTATTATTAACATTACAAATTTACAATAAATATTATTATCATAATCATCATTACTATTGTGTTGTTTGTTTTAAGGTAAAAGTAAGAGGAACAAATTAAAAAAACCAAACCGTATGCATTACATTGTATGGTGGTTGCATGTATATATGCATTATAATTAGGTATATGTGAATCAATTAATCACTGAAAGTGCATATAGCTAGCAGTTTCATTTTTCTCTGCTAAAGGTTTACGAGGCCTTGGAGAAAGATAAATCTCGATTTTTGTTTGATTTCCTTCTTTTACTTTTTTAGCTCGTTTTGTAGGGGAGTTCTCTTCAGAATGATGATGGTGGTCCTCTGTTCCCCTCTTTACAATGATGTGTACTTCATTCTCATCTCCAGAGACTGGATGAATTTGGTCTTTTTCGGGACTTCCTCTTTTTTTCTTGTGCGGAAGAATCTCTGTAATTGTTAAATCTGACACTTTTCTTTGTATATGTCCAACTTCTTCCCTCTCTGTCTTACACAGTCTCTTTTTCTCTGGTGATCGTTTCAATGTCACGGTGTCACTGTCTTCAGATAATTCAAAACCAGTCGACATTAATCTGTGTAAATCACCAAAGGTGGGACTGGGGCCAGGGTAGCTTTTTAGCCATGTGAGAAGGATTTCCCTGATCATTGCTCTTCTATCGCCTATGTTATCTTGTCTGATGCAGCTCCAAACAGCAGTAGGTATGTGTAACTGACTGAATAAGACACTTGGCTCTAAAACGATAAACCTAGACATGATAAAAAGTTCTTTCTCTGTGATTTCCTTAGATGCTGGCCGTGTAAACACCTCGCTGTCTTTGTCCATGATAGCATGAGAATCTATCAAGCAAAAATCAGCTGTGTGTTCCCGCGCCTCGACCTCCCGCCTTTAATTTCGATAATTGTTGCCTGATCACGTGATATTGATGAAATAGGGAGTTAGGGATACGCCCATGCTTAGCTCAGCAGAATATCTAAATGGCTGCTACCAGTGATGAACGAGAGGAGAATGCTTTTCTTTCATCTAGTAAGGAGCTAGAAGTATTGAGAAAAAATGTCAGCAAACTCCAAATAGCAATTAGTGATCACAGATTCTTGTCGATGGATCTTTATTCAGCTGGACTGATATCTCTTCCAACTCTTCAAAAAGTGAATGTTCCTCTTACTACATCTGATGCACAAAACTACGAGATTATAAATAGTTTACTTCAAGTAGTAACCATTACTCCTAGCAGTTTTCACAAGCTCCTCGAAGTACTAGAGAAGCATCCAGGACCACTGACTCCTGTTGTCAAAGAAATGAAAAAAGACTATGGTATCGTTGGTATGTAGCCTATTATCATTAAAACTAAAGTGATAGTATTATTATATATTAGAATCTTGTGAATCTGAATGCTCATCACCTGTAAAGCAAGCAAAAATCAGTGATGACCAACAGAAAGGTAAATCAGACAATCTGTAAACAAAACTTTATCGAGAAATTATGTAGAGATAGTCATTCCTGATGGTCAAAGCATACAAAAAGATTATGGTCGAATGCTTGGGAAGTTAGCTAGATTAGTGCTTCGTTTTCAGACAGTAGTTGAAAAGGCAAACATCAAAATTAAAGATCTGAAACAATATGTCATCTTACGTCATCCTGAGTATAAAGATGAGCTAAGGGAAGCAAGTGATATTAATGAAGTGTTTGTTATAATTCGAAGTAAACTTTGCACTCTCTTCAATTATGAAATCCTAAGAGAAATTGCTGAGTATTTTAATCTTTCTGTTGGATTTAAAGTGATACAAGAATACGAATCAGAGGAAGAGAATTATCGTAAACTATTGAGTAGTTCCACACTTGCCAGTGAACTGCAGAGAGAAAATGAATTGCTTCATCAAAATTTATCTCATACAAAGGCCATCATTCTAAAGCTACAGAGATGGTCACGACCACCAGCGCCAACAGTTGATGAGTTTCGTGAAATTATTAAAGATGTTTTTGTTGACCTTGGAGATTTGCTTCATATTCTTGAAGTTAAGCCAGGTTCAATCATAATTACAATGAGTGCTCCTGAACGAGTGACAGGAACACTAATAGCTCTGGCAAAGAGGAAAATAGCTTATCTTAAGGATATTGGAGTAACCTGGCTAACAATTGGAGGCACTATAATTGTCAGTGACATTGAAGACACAGAAGAGGTATGGAACATTTATTATTATTGTATTTATTGTTATAATTAGTTATCACATGATGTTATGGAACAAGACATTGAAGACAAGCCCTCTTCCTCCAGTCCTATTAAGGAAAATAGTTCAGACAATGTTAATCAACTACCAAGTAGTAAGTATGAAGTCTACACATATTGACTATATAATTAATGTACAGGCTCACCAGTTGGAGCAGTTACTGGTACAGTGTCTCAGTTAAGTCGTCCAACAGTACAAGCTGTAGCAGATGATGGAGGAGATGATACTGATCAAGGAATGGGAACTGATTCAGCTACTCCAATTGTTGACAAAACATGGCGTCATTATCCTATCACACCAAGAGAAGTAATGATTATTGGATCCTTTGGTGATCATAATAATTGGCTGGAACAACAGTTAGTGAATATAAACTATTATAAAGTTGTTTATAATTATCAACAGACACATTATATCACCAAAAATACTTACAACAGAGTTATCAGATGAATGGAGGAAAGAAGAGATTGAGAAGATTGCAGGCTTGTATAGCAGAAATCCTGATCAGTATCACATTAAATCAGTCCATTATGATTTACCAGGAGAAGAGCGAACTAAAGAATATTACATGGAGGCAATAAAACGACTTTTCATTAACTGCAAACAGGACGGAGGTAAGTTCAAGTCAGAAACTCGATTATACATGTACTTTATTTGTAGTTACTCTCCGTTACACTGGTCATGGAGAGAAGGACACTGGTAACTGGTGCTTTAAAGATGGAGTAATATCATTCAATGATATCTTTGAATTATACATAAACCATTTTAAAGGGAAGCCATTATCAATAACATCAGATTGCAGTTATTCTGGTAACTGGATCAATGAATGTGGTAAAAGGTTAGATGAGATGAATGTTCCATCATGTGGACACCACACAAGAGAGCAAGGGCTGTTGTTTAACATATTTACCTCTTGTGAACCTAATGAAGAAGCTACTGCATTATGTTATATTAATGAAGCTAATGTGTATAGTGAAGCACATAAGGGAGTGATACTTAGTGGTAAAAAAACACTAACATCAGGACAGAAGACGATGTTTAATGACTTTAGAGACATTTGTTGTAGTAAACCAGCTAATGAATCCTGTGAAGCTGATACTGATTGTACTTGGAATGATTACCTTAGTAACAAGTATCATCTTGTTTATATAGTTCGTGGCAAAGACAAAGGATATGCAGCCTGGCATTTTGTGTTAGTTGATGAAGAGAAACTTGTTGATTTCAAAGCTCAAGTAGCTACTGGAAGCATTGACCTTTCCAAATATGGTAAAATATTAGAGTCAGGATGGGGTAAAGATCCTCCTGAAGATATTGAAAGAAAGGTGAATCTTCGATTTGGTAAATTACTGAAACCACTTTAGATTACAGTAACATGTGTACTAAAGGCTTGTACAAAATGTGCTAAGTGCTAACAATTATTATTATTATAAGAATTATACATCATGTAGTGTTTTTTAGCTTTAACATGTGACTTTTTATATGAGTGTACTAATTTGATCACAATGAGTGTGTGTCATCGTACTGTACGATCTATGCTTTGTAGCATGAGACCACATCAGACCAGCAGCAATTGACATGCATTTAGATTTTTGAAGAGAATTTTATTTTGCATTATTTTTTACTTGCTCAAAAAAATAGCACTTGTGAGGGAACTGGGCATGGCCAGCAATAGCTAATGATCTGGGGAGAAGAGAGACCTACTCAGTAGTCTCACGTAGCCAGACTCCTCTCCTTTTGAAAGTCAAAAAGGGGAGGAGTCTGGCTACGCGAGACTACCTACTCAGTACAGCGTCTTTCAGCCCACTTGGATCATGGAACAACCTTTCCGTATGCAAGACACTCCCTCTTCCCAATTAAAAGTACAGGTAGGTGTGGATACAGAACAGAAAATGTGATCCAAGTGAAGTGAAAGACGCTGTACTCACTCCTTTACTCAGTTACTAGTCTCGCCCCGCCCCTTCGCTACCTCAGTTACTCTCCTTCATTCACTGCCATCTCTTTAAGATGTGGTTACCTAAACAGTGTCTGGTGAGAAAGAGCCATCATGGACCCTAAGATCCAACACAGAGGCTGGAATGGTAATGTTTAAGTTCAGATGCAAGAGACCGCCAGAGAAGAGAATATTCACACTCAAACTGGCCACATTTGAGATACAGCAGACACCCTTTCCTTCTTGTGGTTGTGCCATAGCTAAGTGAAGACACATAGGTCAAGATTCAGTTGATAGGAATGAGGTCTTTGTGTGAAAAAAGCATTGCAAGGTATGACATTCACATTATGTCCTTGATGAATGAACATTGTTTTGTTTCAAGTGGGTTATTGTTCTATTGCTCAGCAAACAATATACGGTACTCAGGAGATGAGAATGGATTCATTAGTACTAAATATTTTGAAAAAGTATACAACGTAACTAAAGGTGTCAAATTAGACTATTATTAACATTACAAATTTACAATAAATATTATTATCATAATCATCATTATTATTGTGTTGTTTATTTTAAGGTAAAAGTAAGAGGAACAAATTTAAAAAGCAAAACTGTATGCATTGCATTGTATGGTGTTTGTATGTACATATGCATTATAATTAGGTGTATGTGAATCAATTAATCAAAAGTGCATAGCTAGCAGTTTCATTTTTCTCTGCTAAAGGTTTACAACTGCTAGAGGTTTACGAGGTCTTGCAGAAAGATAAATCTCAATTTTCGTTTGATTTCCTTCTTTTTCTTTTTTAGCTCGTTTTGTAGGGGAGTTCTCTTCAGAATGATGATAGTGGTCCTCCGTTCCCCTCTTCACAATAATGTGTACTTCATTCTCATCTCCAGAGACTGGATGAATTTGGTCTTTTTCGGGACTTCCTCTTTTTTTCTTGTGCGGTAAAATCTCTGTAATTGTTAAATCTGATACTTTTCTTTGTATGTGTCCAACTTCTTCCTCTGTCTTACTCAGTCTCTTTTTCTCTGGTGATCGTTTCAATGTCACCGTGTCATTATCTTCATCATATTCAGACAATTCAAATCCAGTTGACATTAATTTGTACAAATCACTAAAGGTGGGAGTGGGGCCAGGGTAGCTTTTTAGCCATGTGAGAAGGATTTCTCTGATCATCGCTCTTCTATCGCCTATGTTATCTTGTCTGATGCAGCTCCAAACTGCAGTAGGTATGTGTAACTGACTGGCTAAGACATGTGGCTCTAAAACGATAAACATAGACATCGTAGAAAGCTCTTTCTCTGTGATTTCCTTTGATGCTGGCCTTGTAAACACCTCAGTGACCTCACTGTCTCTGTCCATGATCAGCTGTGTGTTCCCGCGCCTCGGCCTCCCGGATCTGATCACGTGATCATTATGAACTAGGGATACTCCCCGGCCCCTGTAAAATGGCTGCTACCAGTGATGAACGAGGGGAGAATGCTTTTCTTCCGTCTACTAAGGAGCTAGAAGTATTGAGAAGAAATGTCAGCAAACTCCAAAGAGCAATTAGTGATCACAGAATCTTGTCGATGGATCTTTATTCAGCTGAACTGATATCTTATGCAACTCTTCAAAAAGTGAATGTTCCTAATACTACACCTGATACACAAAGCTACGAGATTATAAATAGCTTACTTCAAGTAGTAACCATTACTCCTAGCAGTTTTCACAAGCTCCTCAATATACTAGAAATGCACCCAGGACTACTACTGACTCCTGTTGTCAAAGAAATGAAAAAAGACTGTGGTATTGTCGTTGGTATGTAGTCCATATATATAGATAATTAAAATTAAATTGATATTATTATTAGAATCTTGTGAATCTGAATGCTCATCACCTGTAAAGCAAACAGAAATCAGTGATGACCAGCGAAAAGGTAAATAGACAATCTGTAAGCAAAACTTTTCATAAAGAAATTATTTAGAGATAGTCATTCCTGATGGTCGAAGCATACAAAAAGACTATGATCAAATGCTTGGGAAGTTAGCTGGATTAGTGCTTCGTTTTCAGACAGTAGTTAAAAAGGAAAATGTCAACATTGAAGATCTGAAGCAATATGTCATCTTACGTTATCCTGATGAACAGTATAGAGATGAACTAGGGGAAGTGAGAGATATTAATACAGTGTTTGCTGTAGTTCGTAGGAGATTCTGCTCTCTTTTCAATTATGAAATCCTAAGAGAAATTGCTGATAATTTTAAGCTTGCTAATGGATTTAAAGTAATACAAGAATATGAAGCAGAGGAAGAGAATTATCGTAAATTGTTGAGTAGCTCTGCACTTGCCAGTGAGCTGCAGAGAGAAAATGAATTGCTTCATCAAAATTTATCTCGTACTAAGAGAATCATTCTTAAGCTACAAAGATGGTTACATCCACCAGCACCGACAGTTGATGAGTTTCGTGAAATTATTAAAAATGTTTTTGCTCACCTTGAAGATTTGCTTCATGTTCTTCATGTTGAGGCTGGTTCAATCATAATTACAATGATTGCTCCTGAACGAGTGACAGGAACACTAATAGCTCTGGCAAAAAGGAAAATAGCATATCTTAAGGATATTGGAGTGACTTGGCTAACAATTGGAGACACTTTAATAATCAGTGACATTGAAGACACAGAAGAGGTATGGAACATTTATTATTATTTTAATAAATATTATAATTAGTTATCACATGATGTTATGGAACAAGACATTGAAGACAAGCCCTCTTCCTCAAATCCTAATATAGTAATTAAAATATGAATGATATTACTATCACTTTATATTGCATTATAACAGGAGGAAAATAGTTCAGACAATGTTGATCAACTGCCAAGTAAGTATGTATAGTCTACACATATTAAATGACTATAGACTATAAAATTAATGTACAGGTTCACCAATTGGAGCAGTTACTGGTACTGTTTTTCAGTTAAGTCATCTATCAGAACAAGCTGGAGCAGATGATGCAGGAGATGATACTGATCAAGGAATGGGAACTGATTCAGCTACTCCAATTGTTGACAAAACATGGCGTCATTATCCTATCACACCAAGAGAAGTAATGATTATTGGATCCTTTGGTGATCATAATAATTGGCTGGAACAACAGTTAGTGAATATAAACTATTATAAAGTTGTTTATAATTATCAACAGACACATTATATCACCAAAAATACTTACAACAGAGTTATCAGATGAATGGAGGAAAGAAGAGATTGAGAAGATTGCAGGCTTGTATAGCAGAAATCCTGACAGTCTTCCTATTAAATCAATTCATTATGATTTACCAGGAAAAGAGCGTACTAAAGAATATTACATGAAAACAATAAAACAACTTTTCATTAACTATAAACAGCCAGGGGGTAAGTAGTAGTGGGAAACTTCATTATACTTTATTTGTTATAATAGCTATTCTCTATTATACTGGTCATGGAGAGAAGGACACTGGTAACTGGTGCTTTAAAGATGGAGTAATCTCATTCAATGATATCTTTGAATTATATGTGAATCATTTTAAAGGGAAACCATTAACAATAGTGTCAGATTGCAGTTATTCTGGTAACTGGATCAATGAATGTGGTAAGAGGTTAGATGAGCTGAATGTTCTATCGTGTGGACACCACACAAGAGAGCAAGGGCTATTGTTTAAGATATATGCATCTTGTCGACCTAATCAAGAAGCTACTGCATTGTGTTATATTAATGAAGCTGTTGAGTATAGTGAAGCAGATGTAGATGTGATATTGTGGATTAATAAAACACTAACATCAGGACAGAAGACAATGAGTATTGACTTTAGAACCATTCATTGTGGTAAACCAGCTAATGAACCCTGTGAAGCTGATACTGACTGTACTTGGAATGACTACCTTAGTAACAAGTATCATCTCATTTATCTTGTTCGTGGTAAAGAAAAAGGATATGCAGCCTGGCATTATGTGTTAGTTGATGAAGAGAAACTTGTTGACTTTAAAACTCAAGTAGCTACTAAAAGCATTGAGCTTTCCAAATATGGTAAAATATTAGAGTCAGGATTTGGTAAAGATCCTCCTAAAGGCATTGATCGAAAGCTGGAGCTTCGATTTGGTAAATTACTGGAGCCACTTTAGATTACAGTAACATGCGTACTAACTTGTACAATATCTGCTAACAATTATTATTATTATTATAAGAATTATACATCATGTAGTGTTTTTTAACTTTTTTAGCTGTAACATGACTTTTTATATGAGTGTACTAATTTGATCACAATGAGTGTGTGTCATCGTACTGTACGATCTATGCTTTGTAGCATGAGACCACATCAGACCAGCAGCAATTGACATGCTTTTAGATTTTTGAAGAGAATTTTATTTTTTACTTGCTCAAAAAATAGCACGTGTAAGGGAAGTGGGCATGGCCAGCAATAGCTAATGATCCGGAGAGAAGAGAGACCTACTCACTCTCTTTACTCAGTTACTCTCCTTCATTCACTGCCATCTCTGTAAGACGTGGTAGCCTAAAGAGTGTCTGGTGAGACAGAGCCACCATGGACCCTAAGATCCAACGCATACAAGACATCATGAAAGCCCTAGAGGCTGGGACGGTAATGTTTAAGTTCAGACGCAAGAGGCCGCCAGAGAAGAGAATATTCACACTCAAACTGGCCACATTTGAGATACAGCAGACACCCTTTCCTTCTCGTGGTCGTGCCATAGCTGAAGAAACAGGTAGAGACCAATACTCAAGTATATGTAGTTACACATGTTCAAATGTAATAGATACACATATCATACTTGTTCATTGCTTGTAATTTACATATGACTCTTAGATGTACATTAAGCATAAGACTTTTTGCTGAGAGCTATTATCTTTTAAATTTTATTTATTTTTACAATAAATGACTCGTGTATTTAATATAATAAATAACGTGACCCCACCTAAGTTGTGTGTACATGTTCTCTTGTTCATTCATTCTCATGTTTTGCCCCGTTATACTAACTGCTGTTTGTTTCTCTCTCCTTATTTGTGACTGCCTTCCATTTTAACACCACTTTACTTTTTAGCACCTGCATGTATTTTATAATACAGCTAGAGAGAACATATACAGACATTCTCCTTATTCTATATGTTATTTCATTGTATCTCTTCTCTTCTCTCTAGTTGATGTACGTGAGATCAGGGAGGTTAGGGAGAGTATAGAGTCACTGGATTATAGGAGGGCCCAGGATGATCTTAAGGTTGTTGATGCTCAATGCTGCTTTGTCATATTCTATGGATCAGAGTTTCGTCTAAAGACACTCAGTGTAGCTGGTATGAACAAACACTCACTTATCTTTATATTTTAGACTCATGTCTTTGATATTATTTTTCTGAGAATTAACTTACATGATTTATCTAGTTTTTCTATCTCCTCTTTCTTCCTATCTTTAATCTCTTAGCAATGTGTAGGGAGGAAAGGGACGCATGGTTAGACGGTCTGAGGCACATTATGAATCCTAACAACTTTCAATCACCACTCCTCACTATGAGGTATGGAGGGGAGAGAGAGGGAGAGGAGGGAAAGAGAGAGAGAGGGGGGGGAAGAGAGAGATAAGAAAAGAATGTATGCACATCATAAAGAGATAGAGTGTGTACATGTCTGTGTATTTGAGATGTGACTTGTGATTTGTTCATGTTATTGTTTATTGTTATTTATTGTGTACCATACAGTATACTATACTGATGCTCATGCCTATACTTTATACAGCTCACTGTATTGATTGTATTGTATTTGTTTATGCTATGATATTCAACAATGTTTGCTCATTTTTCCTTCTCTTTGGAATATCATTCAAGATGGCTCAAGAAGAAGTTCTTTTTACTGGACAGAGGAAATTCTGTGTAAGTCATACTAATCATATATTGAGAGAGAGAGACAGAGAGAGAGGAGGGAGGGAAAGAGAGAGAGAGAGAGAGAGGAGGGAGGGAGGTAGATTGAAAGAGAGAGGGAAGGTGTTGTGTATGTCAATTATAATTGTGGTATGGTACACTGTATTTGGAATGAGAAAATAGAATAATAAATGACAAATGGGTGACATTCAAGTTCTACTAAAACACTCAGTAAAAGAAATATCATTATTATATATTATATAATAGTAAAATTAAAAGTATGCATGTAAAAATGGAATGGGTTTATTATTATGACATATTTTCTAACACATAATTTATACACTGCAGTTTTTAGACATGTCTACAAATGTCTGCTATCAAAACACTGATAAACACACCCACTACCAAAGCCAGCAGTGCATTGCAGCTGCAATGAAAGAAATGCTATCAAATATGACTTGATATCCATTTGTTTTGTTTATGTTTATTCTGTTGCTGACTATTTGGGGGGAATTCTTAAGAGCTGCCTTTAATCATAATTTCTCGTTTAAGGTTAACATGGGTCCATCCCTTTGCTGACATATTACTGCCAAATAAAGCTTGCCAAAATATCCTTCTAAATATGGCGTTAGCTATGAATCAGTGTTTATAGTAATAAAGATGATTAGCTTCCTTGCATGTTTGTGATGTATAATGTATGTGTGTGTGTTTTTGTGTATCATTTATTAATTAGTGATCTTGGTAAAGATTTATCTGTTTAATATTTTGTCTCTCTCTCTTTCTCTTTACTCTCCCCCCTCTCTCTCTCTCAGTATTGGAGCTGTAGAGTTAAAGAAGTTCTTTCAGCAAGTCAGCCATCGTGGTAATATGCACAAAATTCGTCAAATAATGCAGGTACCCCTCCCCCTAGACTTTGCCTTAAATTGAAATCTTATCCCCCTCCTAGGAACACGACTCCAACCAGTCGGGGGTCTTGGCATGGGACGATTTTGTTCGTATGTACCAGACCCTTATTTATGACGACCAGATAGGGAAGCACTTTCACAACTATTGCGCTGACAAGACAAACTTCACCTTCAGAGAGCTCCTCGCTTTCTTCAAGGACGAGCAGAAAGACCCCAGAGCTTCTGATCCAACTTATGTGTCTAATTTTGTTTGGGACTTTGCCACTTCGCCTGGTCGGGACCCCAGACAACCCTCACTGACCCTCCATGAGGTACATGTACATGTACACACAATAATACATGTAAAATTATACCAATACAAGTGCTTGTGTTTCTATTGTATTTTAATTGTTAATTTTCTCTCTTTCTTTGTAGTTTGTAAATTTCCTGTTTTCCAAGAGGAACTCGATATTCAACGAAGAGCATGCCACAGTTTATCAGGACATGGACCGTCCCATTAACCACTACTGGATAGCATCATCACACAACACGTGAGCTCCTCACAATATAGTAACACACAGCATAGACTCACTGGGATTATGTACTGTTGATTTAATTAAAATGGGTGTGATTAAGTGGGCGTGGTTTTAAGTTATCTTAATTTGTAGGTATTTGACTGGTAATCAGTATTCCAGTGAATCATCAGTTGAAGCTTATGTCAGAGCTCTGAGACAAGGCTGCCGCTGCATTGAGTGTAAGAGAAGGAGAGAGAGAGAGAGAGAGAGAGAGAGAGAGAGAGAGGGAGGGAGGAAGGGAGAGAATAGGAAGGGATAAACTTGTTTTGAAAAGGAAAGAGAAAGAGAGAGTTAGTTGAGTGTGTCTACGTGTCTATAGGAATAATGTGACGAGTGAAAGTAAAACAAGAAAGATAACTTTAAAACTTACCCTCTGTCTCTCTCTCATACACAACCTTACTCTCCCTTCCCTCCCCCTCTTTCCTTATGTAGTGGACTGCTGGGATGGTCCTGATAATTCTCCAATCATATTCCACGGGAAGACTCTCACGTCAAAGATAAAGTTCACTGATGTTGTTCAGGCGATCAAAGAGCATGCGTTTGAGACCTCAGAGTACCCAGTGATACTCTCTATAGAGCAGCACTGTGACGTGTCACAGCAGAGGTTTCAAGCAAACTACTTTAAACAAGTATTTGGAGGTGAACTGAAGTTAAATAGTTTTTTATAATACACTTACATGTATAGTCATTAATGAATACTGTGTGTACATGTACATGTATACATGTATGTATGTAATTAATTTGAACTTTAAACCTTTATTAATGTATTTATTTGTTTATTGTTTATAGATATGTTGCTGGTTGCTCCTGTCAGTGGCACTGCTAATAATACATTACCATCACCTAATCAACTTAAGAGAAAAATAATTGTCAAAGTAAGACACAGCTGCTACATGACGTGTATATTATAAAAACTAAATCAAATGCAATCGCTTAATTAATTGTCTTGTACAAGCTACAAATCATTGTGTCCATACATGCAGTTTTACTCTCAGTATACTGTGTATGCCATGTATGGTGTATGGTGTATAGTCTTGAATTGTGTTGTGGTCCTTTTGATCCCTGGCCTGAATGGATAGCCTTTCACTAGTGATTGTGGTTTATTGAGTTTAAACAAACAACATTAGTCTTCATTCAATATTAGCTAGTATACTAGCTGCTACATGTATATAAGCTTTTGAATATATGTGTAGTACTAGTTATAGCAATTAAGCTGTTATTGTTTTTAAGCAGATTAGCAGAATTTTGTCACTAAATGTGTTTAGTGTAAAGATATTCACACCTTTTATACATTGCCTATATTACATAGTGATATTTTACATTGTGTTTGGTGTTTTTTTTGTAGCATAAGAAGTTACAGACTGATGACGATGTTTCTGCATCAGTGACTACAGCTAAAGCAGACCCAGGTAGGTATTTTTTTATTGTAATTTACTGTATATAAATGTACGTGTAATAATTTTTTGTGGGTGTATTTTCTCTCGATCTGCAACACTTTTCCACTTTGGAAAACTTTTTGCTTTTTATGTGAAGGCCAGAAATTATAGAAAGTTTTTAATCAAAATTGGATTTTAAAAGTCTCTAATTTACTATAGTACTGTGTCTAAAGTTGTTCCGAAATCAGGTAAAAAGTTCCTGTACTATAGTACACTGTCTCAGGCCAAATTTTGTCAAAAATGAAAAGCAGAGAATTCTGCATTTTTATAATTTTTCCTAATACATATACATGTTTTTATGTTGTGTAGAAAGTTTGGGCTATTTCTGATCAAATTTGAATTTTTTACGGATTTTTAAAGATGCTCCAAAATCGGGTAAAAGTCTCTGTACTATAGTACACGGTCTCAGACCAAATTTTGTGAAAATTGAAAAAGTGAAATTTCTCCATTTTTATAAATTTTTCTAATGCATATACATGTACTTATGCTTCATATAAAGTTTGAGCTGGTTCTGATCAAAATTGGATTTTTTACGAATTTTTAAAGATGCTTTGAACTAAAATGTTCAATCAGGATCTGTTATCCTTATGCTATATGTGCATGTAGGAATTTTGAGTCAATTCTGATTAATATTTTAGTTATGATTAATTGTATTTATCTTGACCTCTTTAGCTGATAATGACAGGGTTTCTGATGATCTTAGCTTTGCTTTGAGGACAGGCTTACTTTATATGCAAGATCCCATCAATAAAGTATAGTACTAATTTTATAAAAATCATCAACAAAATATTAGTTTAATTGAGATGGGCATTCAAATATTTTTTTTTTGTATTTTTATTTATAGAAATGGTCTCCTCATTTCTTTGTCCTCACTCAAGATAAGCTCTCCTTCACTGAACAGGAAGAGAAAGAGGAGGAGGATCCTGAACAAGTTGAAGAGCACGAAGTAATTATAACCTAATTTAAGAATATCATTTATAAAACATACGTCCTCCTATTCCATGCATCTACAAATGTATACCTCTTTGTTTTCTTTTCTTAAATTTTTCTTTCTCTTTCTTATTGTGCAGTTATTGCCTACAGAAATGCACCTCAAACAACCGTAAGTTATACATGTACATGTACATGTACATTTACAATGCATGTACATGTACAGTGTACATGTATGTTTTTTGCTATACATGATTACTCTATTATATCTTCATGTACATGCTAGGGCTGTGAGGTATTAAATATAATGATACCTCGGTACGGTATTGACAAAATATCCCGGTATTACTAAATATAGTAATGTATTTAAAAATACTAAAATAATTAATTAATAATTAATAAATTTTTTACTTCGAATGCTGGCAAGTATGGCACTGTGTCTGGCTCAAAATGGTGTCATAATTCTGCCACTCCTACTGAACACTTTCACATTGTCAAAAACCTTGCCTAGTTGCCTTATGTATCTTTTCATGTATTTTTATGTGTATTTGGCACTACGAAAGTACTGTAAAAGTACGGTATTGACGGTATAATGGTATTAGTAGTTGATACTATATTAAAAACCTTTGAAACTTAAATATATACCTTCTATATCTAAAAGTAATACCTCGGTATATAGAAATATAGGTATACCTCACAGCCCTAGTACATGCACATGTAAAATGTATTATATGTAGCTAAAAGTCCTTTCTTTCCATTAGTTGGTTTCATGGAAAGCTCACAAGAGGCAGAGATGATGCCGAGGCCTTGCTTATTGATTATAAAGATGTTCAAGGAGCTTTCCTTGTTAGAGAAAGTGCAACATTTGCCGGTGACTACTCGCTATCATTCACGTGAGTTACAGCATCGTACACATGCATACATGTACATGTACATCTACAACATAGATGTACATGTACATGTACATTTACATGTATACAGTTAGGTACCTGTAATACATGTATATATTATTTTAATTTTCTCTAATTTCTTTTCTTCCAGTCGTGATCATAAGTATAATCATGTGAGAATACACACTAAGTCTGAGGGAGGGAAGACTAAGTACTATCTCATTGACCACATGCTCTTTGACTCAATATTTGAATTGGTGGAGCATTATCGACAGTTCCCATTAAGGAGCCCTCAATTTGAGCAAATACTCAGCACCACTGTACCAAGGAAGGTAATTTACTAATAATACCCTAATAATATCCCAAAAATATCCTAATAATATTCTCCTTTAGGATACTCACGAGAGGCAGCCTTGGTTCAATAAGAACGTGTCCAGTAAAGAGGCTGAGGATATGCTCAAAAGAGTGAGAATGGACGGAGCTTTCCTCGTCCGTCCCTCTGGTCATGGACACGACGGAGCCAGGGATGATCCTCATGGGAGAAAGACATGGGCCATCAGCTTCAGGTAAGAGAAAGAGCAAAGGAATAGATGATATGAACTTTAATTTATACTTATCATATTCTTTCTCCTCTCTCTCTCCTTCAGAGCTGATAAGAAGATTCGTCACTGCAGGTTCAGTGAGGAAGGTGGTCAGTTCACGATTGGGTCTGCCACTTTTGACAGCATGACTGAACTCATCTGCTACTATGAGCAGAACCCACTGTACCGTCGCATGAAGCTCAAGTATGCCATCAATGAGGACATTCTCAGACAAATAGGACAGGTAACTACATTATACATGTACATGTACCTCTTATAGTTTTTCTTCAACTTTTAATTTCTTTCCTGTATTTAATTTTTTATGCTTGTTTCTTTCTCCTCTCTTCCTCTCCCTTAGGATCCTGACAATTCTCCATATCATTCGATATACTTCACATTCAACGAAGAGCAATCAAAAACGATATCAGTCCGTGCCATATTTGACTACAATGCCATGATGGGAGATGAGCTCTCTTTCTGTCGCGGTGCCATCATCACTAACGTTGAGAAGCTGGAGGGAGGCTGGTGGTGTGGGGATTACGGTAAGTCCACTCGCGGCTGGTTCCCTGCTAACCACGTTGAGGAGATAAAGGCAGAGGAGGCAGAGGAGCTGGATGAGAAGCAGCTGGGTAACCTACAGCAAGGAGCCATTAATATTGTTGGATGCAAAACCGAAATGAGGTAAATAATTCTAGCCATTATTATTAATTTTATTATAACATGTAATGTGTTCTCTTATTCATTGTCACTGTATAGTGATGGCTTGTGTTATTATTTTATGTGGAATAGAGCAGCTTATTGTGTGTGTGTGTGTGTGTGTATATGTACATGTACATGTATATTTATGTACATGTACATGTATATTTACTCTTAATAATTGATTGTGTACTTTTATGTACTCATGCAATAATCTAAGCAATTCCAAACTTGAATTGTCTTGTTTTTAAAATTCTTTTAGTGAAAAATAAACTGAGAACTACAAAAAACTTGTGTATTAATTGTTACAAATAGAAAAGGTTATAAAAATGACTATGCTCCTTGACCTCTAGTAGACAGAAACAAAACTAATGCTAATAGTAATAATAATAATAATAATAATAATAATGATAATGTCCTTGTCCGATCACCAAGTATCCAGTCAGCTCTTACTGGACGTAAATCTCATAACTTCCAATTGACACATTCTCATTGTCGGTTGATTCATCACAGCAGATCCTCACTGCAAGGTTCTCTGAGGTCACGTCAGTCTCACGCAAGAAGAAAGGCATGTACTTACGCTGTCCCTCTTTGTTGCAGCACTTCGTCTCCCTTCCGTGACAGCCCTTCCCGTCCCAGAGTGGGTCCTCAATTGCGTATTTCTTGTAGTGATTATTAGGATATCCCCAATTCCTGAATCCTGACTCGCAGAAGTTATACTCGCCAATATCACTCGGAGGTTCGTGGCCGTTGAGTGAACAGGGGCAGTGGTTGTGGTTCTCACTGAAGCCGGATATGAAGGACCAGACAAGAGCTTGCAATGGACCTCGTGTAACAGCGATGCCATCTCTGTACCCGTCAGTTGAATAAAACTGGTAGCCACTCACCCTTCCACATATCTTGTTGTATTTGATCCCGTCTGATGGAACAGGGACGCTGGCACAGGACCGGCGTACTGAAGGTTTTCTAGCACAATGGATCCTTTGCTTGGTAACGACCAACTTTAACTCGTTGGGGCAGGTCTTTTCAATCTGTGCATCAAAATGTACTAGTCTAGTCCAGCCTGCATCAGACCCACACAGTGTCTCCATGACACAGTATTTCCTAACCAGCCTCCCGTTGACCAGTAAGGTATAAATCCCTGACTTACTATTGGGGAAATTTTTCTTTATGTCTTGGCAGGACTTTCCAAGGGTTTTCCCACCCTTTCCTGTGCAGGTACATTGGAATGACTCACTAGCGAGTTGAACTGAGTCCATTGATTGAGCTGGCTCGTTGTAGTACAGCTCCTCTGCCTTTGGCTCTTCTGTTGCAGGAATCTCATTATCTTCAGCATTATACTCAATTTCCTGTTCTTCATTTGTAGGCATTGACTCTCCTGTATTGAGCCCTTCCCTCTCAGGATTGTAGTAGGTATCTTCATCGCTGGTGTAGGTCAGTTCTCCCATTCCTATGTTAGGGAGAAGGATGGCAACGAGTAGTACAAGGACTTGGTACTTCATTTTTGCTTTCTCTCTTTGGCTTTGTGGTGATCATCATTTTTGGTCTCTTACTTTTATAGCCACAGGGCATTTTTCCTTTTTGAATATTTGCTTTTGTTTTACAGAAAGAATCAGGAAATTAGAATTATTCAAACATACTTAGCATAGAGCTTAGAATTCCTCTTTAAAAATATATAAACACTCATTTTACAATGAACAATAGTCCTCTTCATTTAATGTACATTTGTAATTACTCTCTGACTTGCAAACCAATGCCCTCTATCATAATTATATTTATATATTACTATTTCTCCAATAGCCAGCAGTCGGCTACAAAGATTTATGTGCTCAAGATTTCTCCTAGCACGGCTATTGGTCACCCCGGCCTTGAAGTATCAGCCGAGACACTTGAAGACCTCCAGAACTGGAAGGAGGCTATCGATGACGCAAGCATTAAAGCAAAAACTATTGCAAAGAAAGAGGTAGGCATAGAAGGAATGTGTGTGTGTGTTTATTTTTTAATTATTTTATTGTAGCATGACAAGATGAATAAGCTACAAAGGACCCAAGGGATAGCACAAGAAATGTCAGACATTGTTGTGTACTGCCAGCCAACAAAAGCATTCACCATTGACAGTAAGTGCATGGACAATGTAGACAACAGAGCCTGAAGTAATATTATATGTTAGAAAAAATATAAAATGGTTAATTCCTTACAGCCATTTTTGACAAAATTTGGCCTAAGACCCAAGACTATAATAGCCTTTGGTCATTGGCCTGATTTTTGAGCCACTTTAAAAATTCATAAAAAATCTAAACTTGATCGGAATTAGCTCAAAGTTGATATGCAACATAAGAACATGTATATGTATCAGAAAAAATTATAAAAGTAGAGAATTCTCTCGGAGCTATTTTTGAAGAAATTTGGCCTAAAACCCAAGGCTATAGCCTTTGGTCGTTGGCCCAATTTTTGAGCAACTTTAAAAATTCATAAAAATCTAAACTTGATCGGAATTAGCTCAAAGTCGATATTCAACATAAGAACATGTATATGTATCAGAAAAAATTATAAAAATGGAGAATTCCCTCGGAGCCATTTTTGACGAAATTTGGCCTAAGACCCAAGGCTATAGCCTTTGGTCATTGGCCCAATTTTTGAGCTACTTTAAAAATTCATAAAAAATCTAAACTTGATCGGAATTAGCTCAAAGTCGATATGCAACATAAGAACATGTATATGTATCAGAAAAAATTATAAAAATGGAGAATTCTCTCGGAGCCATTTTTAACGAAATTTGGCCTAAGACCCAAAGCTATAGCCTTTGGTCGTTGGCCAAATTTTTGAGCCACTTTAAAAATTCATAAAAAATTCAAACTTGATCAGAATTAGCTCAAAGTCGATATGCAACATAAGAACATGTATATGTATCAGAAAAAATTATAAAAATGGAGAATTCTCTCGGAGCCATTTTTGATGAAATTTGGCCTAAGACCCAAGGCTATAGCCTTTGGTCGTTGGCCCAATTTTTGAGCAACTTTGCATGAGCACTATGTCAAAATCCTGTGGGAGATCCTGCCCAACTATTTCCTAAAAAGGCAAATCAAATTAATCAATTTTTCAGTTGTATTAGCTTATATATATATCTCTCTCCTTCTCTTTCAGATCCAACAAAAGGAAAGTATTACCACATGACGTCATTTGTCGAGACAAGAGTCGAGAGATTCGTAAAGAACAAGGAACACGCTGGGAACTTTATACAATACTCTCGTCTCCAATTGAGCCGAGTCTATCCCAAGGGACAGAGGATCGACTCTTCTAATTATGACCCAATACCAATGTGGTGCTCTGGCTCACAACTAGTCTCTCTTAACTATCAAACTCCTGGTAAGGAGGAGAAAGAGGGGAAGAAAAAGAGAGAGAGAGGGGGGAGAGGAGAGAGGAATTACATCTCATTATTATTGTCTATGATTATAGATCGACCCATGCAACTCAATGAAGGACGTTTCCTACAGAATGGAAGGTGGGTGTAGTATTTTATCACAGCATTACTTAATGAGTGCTCGTGTTTTGTAGGTGTGGCTATGTACTAATGCCAGACTGTATGTTATATCAGGAAGGATTTAATCCCTTTGATTCGAATTCACATAAAACTGAACCACTTAATATTGTCCTAACAGTAAGCTTTAATCAGAAATGTGTGTGTACATTTCTGTGTAATGAAATAATGTTTATATGTGCCTGAAGGAATCCTGGGAAGAATTGATTTAGGAGATATAAATAATTGGGAGAGAACTATAAAAGCCATTTTGTGCCAATGATAACAGAATTTTACTCAAGTGTAGTCCCAAAATATACCTCCTGGGGATCTTGTTCATTGCATCAAAGATTTTCATAATTATATTTTTGTTTGTGTAAGACTGTATATATAAAGTTTAAGAATGTTCATTTTTAGATTATTGGTGCCCGCCACTTAGTGAAGCCTGGACGTGGTTTCGCATCTCCACTGGTTGAGGTGGAAGTGTTTGGCATGCCTTGTGACATTGCCAAGAATAAAACACATCAAGTTGGTACGTAATAGGAGAAAGAAAGATCGAAGACAAAGATATTGTTACTATTTCTTTCCTATATTGATACTATATACATATACTTTATTAGTTCTATTTTTTTAAATTTCTTTCAGACACTAACAGTTTCAATCCCGTTTGGTTCTCGAAATTTGAATTCGACATCAACAACCCCGAGTGTGCCCTCCTGAGGTTCGTGGTACAGGATCTTGACGTATTCGGTGATCCGATCGACCTTGGACAAGCCGTCCTACCAGTGACCTCCCTCAAGACCGGCTATCGGTCGGTTATACTCAAGAACGCCTACTCTGAGGAGCTGGAACTAGCTAGTCTTTTAGTCCACTTGGAATTCCAAAAGGTAATCAAAGAAATTACACTTTACGAGGGAAGAAACTTGTAAAATAAATAACGCCCCTTCCTTATTTTCCATGCAGGCTAATGAAGATGAAGACCTTTATTGTACTATAAGATCGTTGCAAGAGAGTATACAGCAGCTCAACTCACAGATGAGTGTGGTCGCCAACCAGTACAGTGACAGGGATGACAGAGCTAAGAGACAGCTTGAGGACATGTCGGATAAAATGATACACCATCAGACGCAGCTAAGGAACTTGAGGGACCTCAGAAACAAGCAACAGTAAGTGCAATGTACATTAATTTTATATTTTCAAGTGAACGATAATTTTTGCATAGCAATGAAGCATACTAAATGCTGAATTATGAATATTTTTTGAACTATTAATTTAGTGGAATAAATAAATAGCTTTTTTTCTGTATTTTACAACCCTATTACAATTGCCTGATAATATGTGACCATAATTGACAAAAGGTACCTTATGGCGGGTAGTGAAATTTGTCTTTCTAGCCTATGAAATCCAACTTCCTGAGCCCCATTTATCATAAAATTACTCCACAGGATGCAAAAAGTTACCATGAAACTTTTAGAAACAATGATTGTCTAACAAAGCACTCACAGGTTGATATTTGCCATTATTAAGATCAATTTTAAAATCCGCCATAAGGGCCCTTTTGTCAATTATGGTCACATATTATAGATGATTGGGTTACATTTTTATTTTTTGCTTTTCTTTCCCAAGGAAAAGGCAGCAGCTGCAAAAAACTCCTTCCCGTTTGTGAATTCAAGTGCCTACTTCATTTGACGTTATATCACAAATAAGTATTTTGTGTTGTAGTTTAACCAATCAAAATTTTATGGGAGACCTTAATAATTTTAATTTATTGACCTGTTGACAATAATTATCATTATTATTATTATTATTTTCGTTTTATTTTTGTGTTTTATTATTTAGAGTATTATTTTTTCGTTGAATCATTAATTACAAATGTATTTTTGTCCTTTTCAAATGCAAGAGCATTGTTAGTATTATTATTTATTTAAAATTGAGTTTGCATATATTATTGAAATGGGTGTGGAATGGGGAGGGGCTAGGTAGTAGCAAAGAGTTGGAGGAGTCCTTTAGCGTACGAGACTATTTCAGTTCCACCTAACTTTGACTCTCCGTAAAGTCGATCGACAAATGTGATCGGAATCTAAAAAATTAAGTAATTAAGTATCGTATAGAAGGAAATTTTGGAGGTAGTTAAATTTGGCGTTTTGATAGCCGTTTGCCAAAATAAAAACATGCCATTTTGAACCACAATGTGCATACTCAATGTCATGTGGCCACAAATTCGCCAAATTAAAAATCGCAAATCACCAAAATTTAGCCATTTGCCAATTTTAACTCCCTCCAATAATTTCCTGTTATAATACGATATATTTTTAATTACTCCTTATTCTCACCTCTCCCACTGTGTATCCGTGTTGCTTTGCTCTCACGATCATCTCCATTTGAAACACGTATCCTTTCGATATACAGACCTCCATCAGATGCTGAAGGACTTCTTTACGATACAACCTAAGCCACACCTATAACCACACCCACCAATAGCGGCACTGACCTGAAACTCCCAGTAAGATCAGAGGCTCCTGGTCTCAACATAAACTGAGCTAGAAAATTTGCACCTCGACTAAAAATAATAAAAAAGATGACTCATATGTATGGTGAACTAAATTCAGCTAGTTGTAATTCTAAAAAAATTTCTTGTTGTACCTCACTAGTTTTCTATACAAGTCCCATCCATAGACCCCACCTCCGGACAAGTATCTAGTGCCAGTGACCACATCATAGTTCCCCTCTCTTTGTTTCTTAATGAACTGCGATATAAACTTTGGCTGTAAGGAGAGAAGAACATTAGTAGTAGTAGTGCCAGCCATTACAGTATAAGAGGGAGCATACGTGATGTGAGAGATCTGCATCCATTAGTATGATGAAGTTACCGGTTGCATGTTTCATCCCATGAATGTATGCCGTGCCTAACCCTAGCTTAGCTTTACGAGGACGAAGAACCTAGAAAAAGAGGGAGAGAGTTTAGTCATAAATTTTGGAGACGTGAGCTACTGATGTTTAAACTTACAATTTTGTCTTCTCCGTAAATATTTTGAAGCTGTTTTGCAACATCAAGTGTTCCATCAGGGCTATTGTCATCAATAACAATAACTTCGTAATCATGTCCACTAGAGAAAGGACATGTTATTCTATTTCTTATTCTATTATTCTACTTTATAATCATGCCCACTAGAGAAAGGACAATGTATCTGGCAGTATTTAGTGACTATAAGTTAGAAGGTTTCCCACAAAGCATGCTAAGTGAGTACATCCTTTAATTGACAAGCACTAAATACATGTAGTGGCCTTTACAACAACTAATTTTTTTAATTTGTAAAAAATCCAGATTTGATATCGAAATCAGCTGAAAGTTTCTACGCAGCATATGTTCATGTATGTGTATCAGAAAAAATTGTAAAAATAAAGAATTCTTTCCTTTTCATTTTTGGCAAAATTTGGCCAAAGACACTGTACTATAGTACAGGGTGTTTGGCTCAATTTTTGAGTAACTTTAAAAATTCGTAAAAAATCCAAATTTGATCGGAATCAGTTTAAAATTTCTATGCAACATAAAAATATGTATATGCATCAGAAAAAATTATTAAAATAGAGAATTCTCTCCTAGTAATTTTTGACAAAATACTTTATACTATCTCTGTACTATAGTACAGGAATTCCATCAATAAAATTAATGGCTAGTTGATACAAAATGACTGAACAAAATGAAAACTGCAAACTTTTGTGAACTTCTGAATACATTAGATGCATTATCTGCCATACAATAATAGTATTACTTTTATATAATTGAAACTGCAATTAATAATAAAATGAAGAAAATTTTTAATCTAATTCTATTTCATTCCCATCATGATCTACCTCTCCTCAAAGCTTTTCACTATGAGCCACACGACCAGTGGTAAATTCTCCCTTTCTTCATAGGTCGGCAACAAAATGGAGTACTTGTTATCTCGTCCTGTGGCTGATTCCTCGTCTTTGAGCCTGGCGGCCATCTTAACATGGGCGTGGTCGAAGTTAATTTTTAACCCCTTTTGTAAGGTTCTCTTCTCTTAGCAACAAAACAACTTGCAGTTTACAGCAATGGCAGGTAATCCGGCTTACAATGTAGTCCCTGGTGATATAGTGGGAGAATGGAAGATACACTTGCCTGATGGGATACATTCGGTGGAATTTGAGCACGGGACAACCTCTGGCAAACGAGTTATACGCGTAGATGGGAAAGAAGTAAGACTAGAGTCTGTCATCAGTAATGAAAGCATCTTGTCCCTCTGTTTATTTTCAGGTTATACGCAAGGGCTGGATGTTTAATCTAGTGGGCAAGGAGACTTTCAAGATTGGAGGAAAATCTGCATCAATTTTGATACAGAGCGAGGGGCTCTCCTTCACGTACAGCATCACCGTCAACGGTCAGACACTCAAGAAGTTCATAGAGACACAGAACAAGCACACAAGAACATGGCTACCAATTGTTAAAGGAGAGCCGCACAGGATAGTGCTGGGTAAGACTTCCTTTATAATGTTAAGTCTCATTTCTTTTGATTTCAGACACAAAGACAATGGATATTTATGTTGATGGTTCACTGACTGAGACAGTGGTAAGACTAACAGCCCAATATTTATGAATATTTTACTATCTTGCAACAATGCATGTAGCGTCTACTGTACTTGAATGGTAGGAAGCTAATTTATATAAACAATATTCCATGACCAAAACCTCATAGACAAAAAGCATTACAATTATAATGTGACTTTTATCATTGTTACTATAGGGTGAATTTATTGATGGAGGAGCTGAAAATCATTTTGAGCTGACTGGGGCTGAGTCAGCTTTCATTAGAACGCTACAGAGCACTGGGACAAGGAAGAAAGGACTACTATACAAATTGATATTAAACGGAGAAGAACACGATCCAGTTGTTGAAGTTACTGGATAAATCGGATAATGCTCATGAGTTGAAAAACACTGTACATAAACTATAGACTAAATCAATAACTTTTTTGTGCATGTCAGTAATATCAGGTTATGTGTGCATGATGTTACATCCACATAACTGTAATCTTTATCTTCATCATGTTTGTTTGTATGTGTGACTGTGTGGTTAGAGTGCTGTCTGGATAAGGCAAACAGAGAAGACATAATAGGTGCTCAAGGAAATGGAGTTTATTTACAACTTTCCCGCAGAGTCCTTTTTTGGTGTTGAACCATAACTGTCAACTACCACTATGTATCAAAAGAGCATATCTGGAGTGAGGCTTATAACTATATTCATCACTGTACAAAAAATAGGCTGAGCTGCTTGTTGCTTATTGTAAACGGGTTGATTAATGGCAGAAATGATCAAAGACGCCCTTACCAGTAGTGGTAGCAGCTCTGGTAGACTCTCCCTCCCTCCTGATCTAGCGGTCATCGCTGCCCGTGAGTTGAACGAGACGCCTCAGGTAAGGAGACAGGCCCTCGTAGAGTTCAGACGAGCACTAAACGAGGAAGAAGCTCATGATGAAGAAGACCCTACCCCTGATGATGACTCCATTCTACTTAGATTTCTTAGATGCAAGAAATTCGACGTTTCTAGATCCCTATCAGTCTACAACGGGTACAAGGCATTTAGAAAGAACAACAAGGAGCTTTTTAACGACTTGACTCCATCTAGAGTCAGCCATATTTGGGACAACGGTCTCCTGGGAGCACTGGAGAGCAGAGACAAACACGGTAGAGCGGTAATGGTCTCATTTCCTGGTACATGGGACCCAGAAACCCAACCCCTGGAAGACGTATTGAGAGCAATGATACTCCAGCTAGAGCATCTTATCGAAGACACGATGACACAAGTCACGGGGATTGTGTTGATTGCTGATTTCAAAGACTTTTCTCTCTATCAAGCAAAATGCATCAGACCGTGGTTTTTTCAAGGGATGTCAGCCCTAGTCCAGGTTTGTTATTAAAAACAATTGTTTGTGTATAAACAAGGCTTAATAATCACAACTAGTGTTACAACATCATCACTTTGTACTAATTACTAGCTTGTTAATCATTATTAAGCACATTGCCTATATCTCCTAACATAGAATGCTTTTCCTGCACGTTTCAAAGGAGTGTACATATTACATCAACCGTGGTACATCAGTCTGATAATGGCAGTAGTGAGTAGACTATTAACTGAGAAAATGAACAGCAGGGTAAGTGAAACAATAGCAACTATTTGCACATGCAACACAGCAACAATTTCTTGTTTGGCCTACATTCATAAAACATTACATCATTGCACATATAGATCTACATTCATCATTGTTTAATCTTTTAATAGATTCACATGCTAGGCGATGATTTAAATGAACTCTCTAATGATTTTAATCTCGACACATTACCGGAGGAATTCGGTGGGCACGGCGAGCCTTACAATGGTCATCATTGGACTGATGTAATGACTAGTAAAGAGAATGAAGGAATAGCACCTAATGATGAGAAGGACAATAAAGACTCACCTAGCAGGATTGAATGCACTGCCCCTCGACCGAATAAGCTAAGATTAGAAACTGAAATATAAATAATAATTATTATTTGTATTTTGGTTTTGCCATTATAATTTTTATAACTGTCTTTATTATCAAACAATGATAAAATTGCAGGAAATTTTGAAAATGAATGGGCTACTCCATACTATATAATAATTAATACTCAATGCCCTTATGCCATGTATTTTTTAGTATTTTAAAATTCAGTAACATATTAACCTTAGTGTTGTATTGATAGATGCAGTATATGCATGGCCCGGGTAAAATAATTTCACTAACAGGATATACTAGTATGTGTCACAGTTTGGCTAGACCTAAGGAAAGTATATCCAAAACCAGACATCCACTTTATCCTTTAGGCAATAATAATGCCAAGTTGTATTTTGGAACATTTTTGGTTCAAAAGAATTTGCCTGCCAACATTTCTTTTGTTTATAGTGACACTAAAACACACATACTCAGTTTCCTTGTAGCAATAATTATTATGAATCTAGATCCAATAGTGTGTAGTATATCAGACTAAACAAACGAAAGTAAGTGTATATATACAACAGGCAATGAACTTCTAGCTGATACTAAATTGAGTCTTGTGCTCGTAAATACTTTTCATTATTGATGTGTCAAATGATTGAGCCGCTTCCTTTCGAGTTGCTGATGTTGCTCTAAGTCTAATGGTAATCCCATACTACAGTACGAAAATTTGATGCAATAAAAATCTGAATAAAATACACAACTCAGTTTCCTTGTACATGTGTGCAATTATTATTATCTATTATTATTATTATTATTATCTTAAGAATAATAATTATGGATTTAGATCGCAATAGTAGTATGTAACATAAACAAAACAAAGTAAGTATACAACAGACAATGAAAATCTAGCTGATACTTAATTGAGTCTTGTGCTCGTGAATACCATTAGTTTTCATTATTGATGTGTCAAATGATTGAGTCGCTTCCTTTTGAGTTGCTGACGTTCCGACACAACTACAAATGCATGTTCCTTTAATTTTCATGTAGAGCCTATGAAGAAAACTCCTAATGTCATATCGAAAGTAAGCATGAGCGAGTGGGCTAAGGCTAGTCATTAGTATTACTAAGACAAACGTTGTTGCCCATAATTGACGAGGAGCAGTGTAAAAGGGTCGAAGAGCACTAACAGCAACAAAAAGAGTGTAGCAAAGTATATGAATGACAATTAGCATCCCAAACAACCCAACGAGTTTCCTGTTTTGAGACTGGTATTCATTACTGTTATAACTTAAACTAGAAGCAGAGCTCCTTCTTTTGATGTATCTCCTGGTGAAGCAGTACGTCCATGTTGACGTTACTATGATGCTCAAAATTAAAACCAGAATTATGGTGCTTCCATACGCTGCATAGCCCAAATTTCTAAAGTTAGGAACACACATGCCGTAGCTGTTGGAAAATCGATAGTTACCGAATCCATAGAGTGGTGTGCTGATCAATATTGCTGCTAGCATCCAGGAAATTATAACTATGATGATAGCTCTGTTTACTGTCATGTATTTCTTATACTCGAATGACATTACAATGAAAAAGAAGCGATCAAAAGATATCAAAACCAAGCTTTCAATAGCAACAGTAGTGCTGAAAGTAAAAAAGTATGCAGAAGCTTCACAAATTGCTACCTTTTCTGACAATGTATTGCCAAAAATCCACTCACCAGAGGCACAAGTAACAATGGAAAATGGGGTCACAATGACAACTATGACAAGGTTATTCAGTAGCATGTTAGTGAGGAAAATGTTGGATGGTTGCTTCCATGTCTTCAAATAGCAGATAGTTAGTACAAGTATAAAGGAGTTAGTCAAGAATCCTGTGATCATCTCCAATCCAATGACTGCTGCTAGGAGTGGACCATTGATGTCTTCACTCAAGGTAAAGTTTTTGTTTTCCTCCAAGATTGTCATCTCATCCATTTCCATTTTTTGAAATTCCTGATCCTTACTAGACTATAGCTATTACCAATTGATATAGACTACTACAAAAATTAGAAATATTTAAAAGTTGGAGTCGAGCTGGCTTTCTTTTATCTGAACATTGATCATTCCTTAACTTCCTATAGCCAAACCCACTATCATCATTGCGCATATATGTGCATGCATGCTCCATGCAAGATTCATTTTCAGATTAGACTAATTCATTTCTCATAAGTAATTTTTTGTTAGAGTGAAGACTATACAATTAAATATACATTAAAGCTGTTTGTTTAGGCTATACTTTGCAGTTTATTTTTACGCACTTCAGTGTTTCCCGTCCATTGGTAATGATAAAGTTAACTGTTCAGTAAACTCTCTCATCATAAAGTTAACAATAGCACACCAATTTTAAAATACTCGTCAGAAAGCTAAATCTGTAAATTCATAAATAAAAAAAAATTAAAATGGCAGAAACCATAGATATGATGAAAACTTACAACAATCACTGCTTGGCATGAACATTATTTTGTGGGTGTGACTGAGTCTCCATGGCAACATTAAATTTTAGTAACGAATTCAATGGCGGCTAAAGGAACTAAAGGTAGCTTGTGGAAGCAGGTAAATGTCCTTTATTTAGCTCCTCTCGTGTCTACATATGCTACTCACTAGTCTGAAGTTCAGAGGGGGACGCTGGAAACGTGGCCTGTTCGGTGTAAGAATGAGCGATCCGTTGTTCCTAAGCCCCAATTGTTGAGACAGTTGGAGGACTACTTGAAGAAAGAGCTAAGGTTTTTAGGCGCTCCTCCACGCGGGCCGGACGAGCTGAGGCTCCAAGTAAGTGATTGCTATTTACAAGTTGCATTATGATGTACCCTGCACAGGCTCACAGGGAAGTATTTGATTGCTTGGTAGACAAGTTCACTACTTACAAGCCATTGCTCGCTTCCATTAAAATGGAGTACGATCTATTCATTGATGATCAGAAAAAAAAGATTAGGGAGCTGCACCCATTACAAGTACGAAGAATATGCAGATAGACTTTCTGCAAATGTCATAATTGTCCCAGTCTGCATGTATAATTACACTTTTTTAGTTTTAAAATACTTAGACAACTCAAATAATTATTGGTAATTATATATTTACTATAGACCAAGCTACTCTCAATGAGGGAGGAGTATGAACAAAAAATCATAGCATTGAAAGAAAATGACAAGAAACGTGAGCTGCATTTTAAATCTACAGTAATTTAATTCTACCATACCTAGTTGTAATTGACCAATCAGATTGCTTGGTTTTAGATTCATAAATAACTAACTTACCTCCAATTTCCCGGGAGGTTAATAAATAATTTTCCGGGAGGTTGAATAAGTAGCCCAGGAGGTTGAATGAGTAAATTTCCGGGAGGTTGAATAAATAATTTCCCGGTAAATTAAATAATACTATTTTAATTGATTAAATGTGTATTTTAAATTATAGTTTTGTATTATTTGGTATTGTTTTAATAGTTTATAGTAATATTTGAGCAGTTAGAGAGGGTAAATGTAACAGTATCTGCAGTTGGCCTTTTTTTGCTTGGTGGTGGCTCGTAACTGTTTTCCTTATCTTCATCTAGTGCAACCTTTCGTTCATATTCTTTGTTTAATACTGATGAAACTTTTTTTCTTGATCTTGAGATATTCGTTTATAGGCTCTAATGCCATCAATACTGCGATGACCAGTGCGATCCATAGTCAATTGTTCATCTGTTCCTAATTGAAACAACCTTGTGGCTGCTGTCGCTCTTAAAGAATGATTGGTTTTAAAGCCATCGATATCTGCTGATTTACAAAGCCTACGAATGGTCTTTGATAAAGTATTGTGGCCAATAGGAATGTTAGAGTACCAAATTGAACCTGTAGGTTTCTTCAATGGAGTCAAATAGAAATGTGTTAGACTACAGTGTTAGTTGTTCTTCGAGGTGGACAATGGCTCACGTATTCCTTGTACATGTTGATGAAGCATCATGAAGGCCTTCTCCTTATTTGCATAATGCGTGATACCTTTCGGTTTGACCTTTCTATGTTTTAG